TTAATAATAGAAATAAAAGAAAACTTAAAATTATACTAATATTAAAATAGTAGCAATAATGATAATAGTAACAAAATATACAATGAGTGATACCCAGTGCAACTGCTCACCACCCACCGACCGAGCCCGGCCCGTTCCCAGATAACGATCCCGGAGGAGCAACAATCCTGAACCGAAACCGTAATCCCGGAAGAGCAAGAGCCCGAGCAAAAGCCAGAGAGAGAGAAAAGAGGAAGAGACCCTCACTAACCTGGCAAAAACCAGGACAATGGAATATCCCATTGGCATACCCAAACACCAGTTTAGCTTATTAATTTAAATATTCCTCGCCCCCTTAGATCTTGTGCTTGTAGACTGACAAAACATGACGTCCTTCACTTTCAGTGACAAAAACGCAAACACTGGTATGTTATCAGCGTTTCTCTCATAACAAGTCCCAGGCTGAAAGCAAAACCCAGCACTATTCTAACTACCAAAAAGAAACCCAGCTCTGTTCCTGCTAAAAACCAGGACAGTGGTATGTAGGACTGAAAGCAATGTGAATATGGCACTAAGTTTATAAGATACTGCAAATAAATTCAACCTGGAATTACTAGTTCCAAGTTTTACTGATCCCCATTCAGCTGCCTAAGGTGGATAAAATCCAAATGCAAGCATTCACAAGTAGACATTGCCTTCATAGCAAAAAAATCTGATTTTACTTAAAGGCAGCTCATGGGAGGTGGAAGGGAGTGAACTCTAATCAAGCCATAATGAGGGTGCAGAGGGCAGGCTTCTTCCCAAATGAAACAAACCAAGTTAACCAGCTTTCAAGTCACCAGAGGCCCACCCACACCTCCCAAGAGCAGCAAATGCCCTGAGGGAGCACTGCAAATCTCTGATCAAGATTGTCAGCACAGAACGCCTGTTCTAAAAAAAGAAAGTACCTTCCCTGGTCTTTACCAGACAAGTCAAAGGGTGGTCAGCAGAGCCAAGCCTGGGACTAGCCTCACCAGAACCATCACTTGGGGAAGAGGGAACAGCAGCAACCATTCTCACTGCCAATATTCAACTCGCACCTAGCAGAAAACACAAAGACTTTTCCTCATTAGGTTTGCTCTTAGGTCCTAGCCTTGTACTTTAATATGTATTGCTGGTTATAAATACTCTGATTAAATTCCAACTTGGATGGTGGTGTGGTTTAACCCAGCTGGCAGCCCAATACCACACAGTCACTCACTCACTCTCCCCACCACAGAGAAAACAATACTTTGTTTCTACTCAAAATCTAACCTCTAGCACAGACCAGAAGAATCAAGGTATGCTGTCTCCTGCAAGTGCCACCTAGAAGCACACATCCTGGTCATACCTCCTAGCCCTATGTGGAAGTCTTTTTTACCCTTAGAACACCTCTAATGTCATTAAATATGTACATCTGGCCACCTGAAACGTTTTCTAGAAGGAATTCTCTCTTAAGAAACACTGTCTTGCCAGCACACTTTGCTCAAAAGAAAGGAGTATCTAATCAGTGAATGGTAACTCTAATTGGTAGTGCAAAGGCGTACTTTTACAAAAACCCAGCGTAGCAGTTCCCAGGGTTTCACATCAGCACCACACTGGTGCATGCTATCTTTAAGACACCTGTAAATCCTTCCAGAAAGACTTTATTAAAATAAGATGCAAGATAGCAGCTATTTTCTCATGGTACAGTTTCTGAAATTGGACAGAAACAACACTGTGTGAAATCACATCCTAAGTCAAGACAAACACTGCATCTAAGAGTCAATATTTATTTGATTAATAACTTACAAAATTTAACAGATTTAATTTATGTAAGGAGAGCTAATTTATTAAACATTTTACAGATTTTTTTGTTCACAATGTAATACATCAAAGACCTTGACAGTATTAAAATAATACTTGGCACAGTTATAAATAAAGAATATACAAAAAAAAACATAGCTTAAAATGTAGTGATGCTGTTTTACACATTAATTTAGAAAAAAAAAAAAATCTGTTGGACATCAAAGAATACAGAAACCTGCAAAGAAACAGCACATGTTTAGGGCCAAGACAAAATTCCCATTTGTTCTACCTATGTCAGATTAAGTTGGTCTGATCTGCTGTTGGTCTGGATCAGCTGTGTTAACTTTCAGAAGCAATGCAGTTTTGGTTCAACAAGTGAATTTTCAGTTTGATAACTTGACAGAAAAATGCTGCATAGTTGGCTCCCCCCTGCTTGATTTCGCGATTTTCACATCAAACGATTCAGTGTTACTCAAGACAAGTTACATTTTGCACTGGAAACGTCATACATCCCAAATCCATATATGCAAGTTCATTTTCACAACTACCTACTATTGCTCAAATTCTGCACGTCTCAACAAAACTGTCACCAGAGAGCTACTAACAAGTAGTGCAGATCTCACTACATACTACCAAAGATCACCTCTTCTTCTGCAAACATTTTTGACATGGACTGCATGACACAATTCATGGCAGTTAATGCTACCGGGTAACTAAACCCAAAACTTGTATCACCTACTGAACTGCTCTTCTAGTGCCAGGTGATATTTAATAAAGTGGATTTAAGCTCTTCAAGTCAACCGACCCCCAGCATAAATGTGGGAAAAAAAACAACAAAAAAACTCCCCAAAACAAATATGCAGAATATTACTGGTGATTAAAATCAACAACATTGTGAAGTCTTCATGCTTTTTTCTTATTAGAAAAAAATATTAATAACTGATGTCAACTGTTTTCACTGAAACAGAACATGTCTTCGTTAGAATTACAAATTTTGTCTGACAAAAATAGCAAAAGCTTCTTGCCATCTCTACACCCAAACCTCTCCCATTAAAACTGTGTCCAAGACGATGTTGATTTTTCCAGTATTAAACATTCAAGTTACTCTAATGCTGCACTTCTGTAAATCCTGATATCTGGTACTTGCAAACTAAGTGTGTGTCTTGAGATCAATGAACAACTACAGAAAAAATGTTTACTTGCAAATACTGAACATCAACTATTTACAGTTTCACTGCTCCTCTTACTAAGGCAAGGGCCGGGAATACCACTAGATTGCTTTATTACCTGTAATCTGCATATTACAGAAAACGCTAATTTTGCCAAGCATCAAACATGCAGTGAATTTGCAGGGCATAGTGCCTATTAACAGCAATATTGAACATCACTAGAAGCTCGTTAGATATCTTCCTACACTTTTTTGGTTGAATAAAATGAAAATGAGCAGCTTTAAATACACCAAACACACTCACAGAGAGAAAACTGTTTGATAAATTATTTATATACAGATACACATTCTTTACACTGGTCTCAGATATCTGCTTTCAGGTCCCTCCCCAAACTCCCCTCACAGGTTTCTCGAACCACTGGGTTGCTACAGCACTTAGAAGAGAACAAACCTGATTCTCAGTCTCTCTGTAAACAATAGTTAAGGAAGCAGTGAACAATTCACTATGAATATATGAAAACACCATAACAAAAATCAGTGCATCACATTCAAGAAAAGCCCCTTTGGAATGCAATTTCAGGTCATTCCTTACCTTCAAAACATTTCTGTAGCATGAGAACTTAAAAAAAGAAATTAAGGGTGACTTCCACGTGCCAACACACCATCATCTTCAAAACACTGCATTACATTTTCTGTGCACGTGTGCTATTATGGGGATTTTTAAATTTTTTAAAGTTCGGTTTCCATTATTTTACATCCAAACAAAATCAGCATTTCAGACAACTTTGGGTTCTTCTTCTGCAGTTGTATCCAATTTAAAACTACCTTGTCTTTTTATAATTGAGATTTTTCCTTTCACATCTGTGGTTGCTATTTCTCTTCCAACATGTCTCCAATTAGACTACATGATACTGTATGAAGACCAAACCTAATATGAAACATTGCTAGTTTGTAAATTGCTTATACAATTACTTCAAAGATAATGAATTTTTTTCCACTTTTTTCCTGAACATTATATACTGTAGTCTAGTTTTACAGGTGTATCATGCAGTTAAGTAGGGCTTTAACTCTGACAGAAGAGCTTTCCTTATTTACACAACTGTTTATTTCAGACTATATAATCTCATAACAGGGTTATTACAAGTATTTAGTTGTACCACTAACTGGTGGCACAAAAAATCACCAAAAAATGTGGGCAACATATTTGTTCTCAACGTTATCTGATGTGCCCTACTGCTATAACTTAACACGTTACAGGGGATTCCCACCACATGATGTCTGTAATAGTACTGAAAAGCACATTTTTCAATGTACATAATACTACAGAAAATCTGTATGAAAAAATCACATTACAGGAACTACAACATAGTGACCAGTGAACTCTGCATCATGAAATTTAATTTTATATTCTAGATTTTTGTTTCAGTGGAATTATTAATCTTGGGCAATAAATTTTACTGCTCAGCACAACGTAACTACTTACGCCAATATTTCAATAATCTCATGCTCCATTGTGAAAGACCTTAAATAAAAAAACCCAACAACAAATACTGTGAATAAGCTGTCGTGAATAACTCTCATGTTAAGAACTGTTAAAATCCCTTTTTGATCTTCCTCCTCTTCCTTATCAGGTTTGGCAGTTTATTCTGTCCATTTTTACTTTTGTTAATAAAATTCTGATGAAGAGAAGGTACCTTAAGATTCATCATCAGCCCTACACATAGCATGCTACTCTTCAAGGGATGCGGATTCGAGAGAGAGCTAAAATTTTTCAGGCACCACTCAGATATGATATGCTCACAGGATGAAGGTGGTGCTACACTAGCTGGTAGCCTGATCCTGAAGTCTGGTCATATTCTATTGTATACTGCCTTGTCCAGTCCACGATAACAGGCCGAAAAAGACCACAGCATCTGAATTCAAAGAAGTCTATAATGTTCCTTATACATCCATGGCTAAAAACAAAACAGAAACACATGTTAGTAAGCAGTTATCATAGCTCATCTAACAAAGTACAACACTTTTTGTCTACCTACAAATTCAATTCTTCACCCCTTAAGTTCCTAACTGTAGAAAACCAAGTAAGGCGACAACAACTACTTGATGTCATTGCTTCATCTAACAGTTGATGCCAAGTCAGTTCTTTTAGACATCTGGTGTTATTTTCCAGAGTAATTTTTATAAATGGTAACTAATTCAGTGAAAGTAGTTTGTGAATGTGACATTAATTTGTGGATAAAACCAACATTTTCTCCTATTCTGTGCACCACTATGTTCTTCAGGCAAAATAATTAAGTTTTTGTTACAACTCTAATATGTATAAAGGCTGCAACCATACAGAGATGCTTATCTGCTTCTCACTAGAAGTTTTGCATGGAAGGATATTAAAACAAGATCACACAAGCTTCTCTTGTAGCTGAAAATCAAACTGAAACAAGAACCTCCATCTCTTGTTCCCCTGGGCGTCACCTGAAAGAGCAACAGCTCCCACAGGAGACATAGCAAATGCAGCAAGATGAGACTGCTGCTCCTTTTGTAACGTGCCCTCAACCCACCAATATTCCAGCGTTGTGCTTTCACTTATTTCTTGCTTTGGGTCTGTAAGCTGCTCCATGCTGCCATATTCCCACCCCAGTGCTATATCATCCCTAAGCCCCTCTCTCAGTTTGCACCCTCATCACTACAGGAAACCAGAATCCCAACCCACCCTTTACACTCTGATACCCAAAAGCCCATGTCTCATTCATGCAACACCCATTTCAGTTCCTGGGACACCCTGCTCCCTTCCCCACAAATAGCTTTGCCCATGCTCTTCCTCCTGAGCAGAAAGGAAGTGCTGCCTCTCTTCTGTCAGTAAAGAGAGCAAGGGGAGCTGCAGCACAGAGCAAATTCAACAGCACATTAAATATCAATCAGGAGAAAGTGCCTGGTGTGGAACTGAAGATCCAGGTCAACACCGACACCATGCAATAAGCAACTACCACTGGTTTGGTCATCTGATTTATAAAGAGGATATTTATTTCCCCATAAACTCTACAGCAAAATATGACCATTACTGGAAAGCATTATTTTCTGTGTTTAAGCATCCTTGTCTAGAGTCTCTACAAAACATCTATCACTTCCTTTAACTGGATAGAATATGTTACCGTAAAAATAGCTGACAGATTCAGCACTCCAAGTAGTGAAAATACTTTAAAAGTATTTAGCTATGTTCTGTTTCAACAAGCTGCACAATTCAAACACATGCAAGGCTACACAAATAAGAAATATACACTTTAAAACTTACTTGAATGGGCTTTCAATAGATGTGGTTGTGACTTTAAAGTGCTTGTATCTTCTTGCATTCATTCTTTCATTTGTAGTGATACCTAAGCAAGATATCTGAAGAGAGGAAAGAGTAAGTAACGTAAGCTCATGTAAAAACATGCAAACAAGCCCTGCATGAACCAGACTGAAAAAGAAGGACTAAATTTACTGTTTCATATTCCTTCTTTTTTGTCTGAAGAAATTATGAGTTCCCAACATAAAACACCATACAACAGTTGTACCAGACTGTGCAAAGGGTTTAATTTTGAAAGTGATCAGAAACAAACCATGATCACTGAATAAACTGGGTCTTCTTAGTTCATAATAGAGATGCATTTACTGTGTTATCAGATGAAGGGTACTGTAAATAACAGATTCAGGAGCTACTTTACACAGCATTTGAACCACTTTCTTATTCTCTTGACATTCTGGTTATCACTCCAGTAATATATTTTTCCCCATTTATAAATTTGTTGCATTAAGATAACTTTTCTGTCTAGAAGAAAAACAGATAACCAGAAAAAAAAAGTGAGGGTTTTTTTGTTGTTATTGCTTATGTTTTTTCCTTTTTACAGAGTCATTTGGCTCAAAGGCTATGATTTTCTGTAACAGTTTTCCAACTACATTAGCCTGAAAGGGTATCTTACGTAAAAACAGTTTACTGTAATGTGATGCAATCAAAAAAAAAAAAACCAAACCAAAACAAACCCATGAGAATTCCCCTAGCAGCCTTATAGTGCATGAAGATAAAATCTTGTAATTCCTAGTAAAATATAAAAAGTTTATTCTGCTGCATGTTACAAAAAGCAGGAACACTGAGAAAGTTAAGTTTGGGCTGGGTTGCCTCATATGGATGTACTTCATGTCTCGAGCATTTTATTCGCCTCTCTGAAACCCAGTGAAGTTTTATGCCCATGTACATAAATGGGCTCTCAATGGCCAACTTCTGAAGTAGGAAGTAAAGGTTTTAAATTATTTTTTTAAGATAGCAGGTAGTGAGTGTTTTGGCAATAACCCTGGACAAGTCCAAACTTTAGTGGGGCTGAGAGGGAAGGAAGCAACAAGAGTAGGGGCTGCACAGTTGCAAACCAAAAGAAGCAAATTAGAGAATATCTTTATCAATTCCATCATTATGGCAAACTCTGAAGAGATTTGCCAAGAACAATCCTAAGTTTTCTATGAGTAAAACTCTTAGGAAATTAAATTTAGTAATATGACTGTGACTGTGTGTTCGGTTTTAATTTTTCCAGGATTAGTGAAGTCAAATGCTAGAATTATTTTGCTTAATTACACTAATGATACAAATACTATGAGATGTATTTTTCCAAGTGATATAATTCAAAGATTCATCTGTACACAGATCATATTCACAGGAATCCTCAATGGGGAACTTAATGGTTCATTATATAAGTATGATGGAAGGCTCTCCAGAAAGTTACATGTTACAAGTTATTCTGCTATAGAAGTCTGGTGGGTTAGACTGCTTTGAAAGCCACCTGAAATACATTTAGTTCCTCTACTCGTTTGTCCTGGGCAGAAAACATCTGTAAAAGACTGAATGGCTCTCACTCACATATAAAAGATTTTGAAATTTATATATGTTGTAAATTATTAATATTGTAGAGAAAGCAGGACAAAGCTTAAATTTCCTAAAAAAATTTACCTACACCTTAAAGGTTGATTTTGCTTTCCAGGATTTCTGGAAAGCTTAAATCAGTAGGTAAGTCTCCCAGTTTGTTAAGGACAAGTCATCCTAAAAGGCCTTCAGTGACTTGCCTTTCCTTAAAAAGGATAAAGGAAATCTTGGGTTTGGTCAGATTACAGTACAGTAACATGATCACCAATCACATTGAAGCAGGGTAAGAAATTATTGCATCCCCTTTGAAGTTACCAACCTCTTTCTGCTAATGACATACTGCATTATTCCAAATTCAACCCACAGATCTTATCCTCTGTTAGTCTCTCTTTGGTCTGTTTTGCCTTTTTGTCATTCTGAGAATGGAAAACGGGAGGTAGGTACTTTAACCTCTTGCAAAAAAAAAAGCACAAGCAAATGAGAAGTGAATGATGCCTAATATCCAGAGACAACAGATGTCTGCCTCCTCCATCATGGCTGAGAGACTAAACACTTGGTCTTGCTTAATGAACATTAAAATTTAAATGACAACTATTTCATATTTTTATGTCACTCCCAGCACTCAGCATTACAAATTAAGTGCTCTTCCATACCTGATACATCTGACACATGAGTAACACAGCCACCCACATGAAGTGAAAAACACTGTTTAGAAACATCCAAAACATCCATGGAGAACAGGTAGCAATCTGTGTAATATAGGTCCAAAATCCATCCTTTGCATAACTTGTCTCACAGTGGAAACCCCAGTCTAGAGAAAAAATAAAGTGTCAAAAGCTATACAGATATATTTACTGTACATCAACATAATACCCACATCAGAACGTATTGAATTAAACAAGAAAGTGACAATGTGCCAAAAATAGTTTTACTTGCTCTCTCTTCCTTTCCCAACTCCTTGAATACATGACATACACACATACTTGGCTGGGATGAAGAAAAAAAATCTAGGACAAGAAAAACATCATCTTCCAACTTAAAATATCCAACGCAGTCAATTATTAATTTGCAGTTCAATTCCAAAATAAGAATATTCAAAACTCTGATAAAGCAGAAATCTGTAAAAATCCATATCAGGAAAGAATCAAAGTATATATAAGCAATTAAAAGAAAAGCCAAAAACCACATTTACTCACAAGAGATACATCCATAAATCATCCAGCAGATCATAAAAAGCAGGAAGAACAGGTATCCCATAAAATAGCGATGGTTCCCTGCTCCTAAAATTGCACAGGAACAACAGAGATCAAATTACTACACTTTTAGAAGAAAGACAACACTACATCAGAAAGTTTAATTGTTGCTTAGAAGTACTGCTTATTATTGCATACAGAAACATTACTCTTGAATATGAAGCCAATATAACTTCAAGACAGTGAAATTAGCTGGTTTACTTAATTTATTTTTTTTTATTTCTGAGACAACAAAGCAATGTTTTCTTTTCTTCAATTTCTGTCACATTACAGCTGCAATTCACACAAATGCATTTAATTTGTAACCTCTTCCATAAGTTAATAAAATTATTGATAGAATATTACAAAATCATCAGACTGCAGAGTTCACTCTCTTAAAAGAAACAAAAATAGCAATAAATACTCAACCTCCCTTCGTTATAAGCTAACACACAACTTTGGTTTAAGCCTGCTTGATGAAGCTAGCTAAAAATAAAATATCTATTAGAACTGTAAAACAAATACATTTAACTGAACAGATGAGGCCTAACAACCTGGCTAAAACAATGAATGTGATAAAAACTATTCTGCTTAAGACAGAATTTGAATGCAAGAAAATTCAGTTATTAAAAGACTGATCTATTTTTAACATTAACAGAATTAAGGAGATGCTTTTTATGTGAGTACATCATAATTCTGAAGTACTCAGCCTTCCTTCTGTTTGTAAAATATGTCCACTGTTGCAACCTTCCAACCGCTCTAGGCTGTAAACTAAACCCACAGAGATGCTAATGAGCTACAAAAGATTTGGCTGTCATCATCTACCAGCACAGCATTTACTTCTTCATTATGTCAAATGTTTTGCCTGCTAAAACAAGAGCATCCTCTGGAGGCAGAAAATAATCAAGTGCTTTTAGCGAGTAAACTGAAAGACTATATAAATAAGAGATGAGGAAAAATACACATAGAATACAAGCTAGACTAAACACAAGACATTTCCTTGAAAATCAAACAAGTTCCTTCAGACATAAAATATCTTGTAACATTGCCTTCAACCACCTAAGAGCATATGAGAAAGTGTTGGGAATGTCCCTAAGGTTTCACTTTTATTTGCTTACTAAATTTCAGAACTGTTAAGTTTCATAGAAGACATTTAAAAAAAAAACACCAAACAAACAGTTAAACAGTGACCTAGAGGTTCATCCGAGAGGCATCTGATGAGACGTTCCTTTCAGCAGCATCTTCAGTGATACTAAATCGAATTCTGCCTAACAGGAACTCTGTCTGTATTTGGTAAAATCATACTTGTAGCATTTAAAAATATAAATGAGATAGGCAGTTTTTCCACTTTCTTTTTCTGGAGTCTTTTTTTCTTAGTTGTGACCAAGATTGTACCTTTCTTCTGTATCTGAAATGACACTGGGCAAAACACAGCACTATTCTCTACAATTTCACCCTGGACTGGCAGGAACACAGTCAACTGCCCTTACAACTAAAACAATGCAGTAAGAATTGATGCTAGTTTCTTTTATATGGTTGTGCTTATATTATACATAAATCATAATATATAATAAAAATAACTTTTTTTACTGATGGAGTTACATTGCATGATTTAGACGGTTTGTTAATTTCTTAATTTTTCCTACTTCTGGCTCCTTGGAGAAGAAACTTCATTGGAGGGGAGGAAATGATCATTATTCTAAACCACAAAGTAATTTCTCATATACACAAGACCCACTTTTTGAGTCACTGCTATCAGAACAATAATTCAGTACAATGTCAGCATAACCCATGTAACACAATGGTTTAAAACTTGGCACTAGCTCCTTTCATGCTATTACTTGAAAACCAAGTTTCTGCTTGAAATGTAATTGCAAGTTTAATAAAATCTGTTTTCTTTTTCAAACAACCAACTGTAAAAAATATAATGCCATTTTGATACTCCATTAAAAAGATAGGTATAATTACCTTTAGAGACTTGCTCACTGTACTAAAGAACTAAAATTTTGTGGGTATGATGAAAATAATTTGCCCCAATTGACAATTTATTTTTTTTTCAAATAGTCTACACTTTTTCTCAACCTCTTCAAAGCAGTAAAAATATCCTCTCTCGGCCTCTTTATGTGGCAAGTTTTATCCCCAAAGGATTTACTTTAGAGTGTCTGTACACATGTTCACAATATTTCTCAGTCGTATCTTCAGTAAAACTCTTCTCCTTCTAACACATTCAAAGTAGGACTACATCAAACATTTCCAAATTCCACCTTTCCAGAAAGGCGTGATTCCTGTTTCCCTTTTTGGCAAACATACCATGAATGCTGTTTTAAGAATGGATTCTGTTTTGTAATCCTATGCTCAGAGTCACCATATACCAATCTGAGACAAACAGAAAAGCCATATAAGGTCATTCAGACCACCACTCTCTCCAGTTCAGGGCTGTTCCCATAATGCGATTTCTAATGCTTTTTTCCCAGCACACTTTCAAGCATCCTAATGTTTACTTTTACCTCCAGTTATCTCAATCTGTACAAGACCACCAGCAGGAGGATTCTGCTTTTCCATCACCATTGTTTTTTAAAAAAATATTTCCTCCACCTAACCGAATCCCATTACTCACATACTCTCTTAAAGCACACAAAATAACTTTTTTCCTCCTCTGGCTGTTTTTTTTTATGTTTTTCAAGTTAATGAATAAGATACTGGATCTTTCCATCCCATGGACAAATACTCCTCAGCGCTCTTGCAAAACAGTCATGAAACACTCTCCAAAACATAAGCCTATGCCCCCCTGCCTTTAATTTAAAATTTCTTAGTTCTTAATTGTAAAACACCTAAAATACAAATCAAAAGTAACTCAGGTAGAAACATCAGTAGGAAGTGTAAAGTAGAAGGGAGTGATAGAAGCTCAGTAAGATTTCAGTGACACTCTGTTACAAATCAAATGCCAACACTGTCTAGTCTACTCTTGATCGTAAGACTAAACTACTGTGACTATACATTATTATATGTATTTAGAAGGACTACAATGAAGCATTTATTTGCTGTCAGATGTTAACCAAGCCAGGTCCTAACTCCTCCTCATGATTAAACTTACCTCTGTGTGTGTCCTAAAAAAAAAAAAAAAAAAAAAAAAATAGTGTGAAGCACGCTGCACTCAGTTCCTAGCTGTGAAGTTTTCAGTCCTCCCTGCACAATAATGGCTTTCAAATAAGTTTCTCAAAAAATAAAATGGGGAACAGTGGCATTTAGAGGTTTTATTCCTGTTCTATATCTGTTCCTTTCATCACCACTGGGGAGAATAAATGACTGCCTGAGGGGTCAAAAAGAGGAGAATATATCAATAGGAAGTCATTGTGTATCTAACTGCTATGATTATTAAATTTTTGAATACTTTCCCATTAAATTAGAAAATTATCAGCAAAGATGAATGTATTTATCTCATGTAATGGACAACAGTCAGTTGTAGAATTAGCACATACCTTTTCTGTGGACAGTAAAAATGCACTTATGCTTTGCATCTTTTAATTACTAGAATTTATGTTAATAAAAATATATAGGTAGGAAACAGGATTAGACACAAAACCATTTTGAGGATGGGTATACAACAGACAATACAAATGAGAATAATGCAGAGAATCAAATGCAGAAAAAAATGAAGCTTAGTATGAAAATGTTTTTCCTTTTACCAAAAGCCCTCAACAGTTTTTCTCAGACTTTGGCAGTAGCCAAGTCACTTGCACCATGAAACAAGAAACAGACAAAGCCCTGCACAATATGCAGGGTTGATTTCAGCAGCTTTTCCCTTCTTGTGTATTATGATAATATCATATATTAGCAAATCACTCACCTACACAGTTGCCCACCCACGGACAGTGGTGATCAAACTTTGCTATACATCGATTGCATACACCACAGTGTTTGGACCTCACTGGCTTCCGTATCTGTAACAGTTATTAACATCTGTTTAGAATAACAAAAAACCCTGACATGTTTATATAGATAAAACCCTCAATTTACATGCAACTTGATTTTTCTGTTGTTAACTTCTCAGAGAACTCCAGAGATTATGCCAATTTTTACAGCAATTTTAGCTATTAAGCTTAATCTGTAACACAACCATCATTTTTTTTCTCTTTTTTTTTTTTCATACAAAGTTCTCTTATTCCCTCCAGCTATTGAGCTTTTCATAGCAACCATTTTTAACAACAAAGGTACAGAATGAGTTTGAGTTCCACAATTCTGTCAGCATCATTCATAACTCAGCTCTAATGTAAAGTGTTCCAGATTGTTTTCTAAAGACAGGAATATGACTCAACAAATGGAACTCAGTGGAACTTAGAATGCTAAATTACTCCCAACAACTACTTTTTTTTAAAGGTTACATTTGGAAAGAAATACAAAATGGCAATAAAAGAACTGATATTAAGTGTTTTGAGATATGTATGTATATACACACATCACTTTTAAGGTGCTGCATCTGTACATAATTTTCCAGATTAAATTTTGGGAATATTAACATCATTCATGTTCTACATAGGTAAGAGCATTATAGTGTAACACTGAAACCCTGACAATTTTATATTTAGTAGTTAACTTTCTAAAAGAGAAACACATTACATTTACTATAGTTACTTTTTTTTTTTTTTTCTCTTAACCAGTTATTTTCTCTTAAATTTTCTGTGGTGAAACTAAGTATTAACTAGTCCAAGAAAAGTATTTGCTCATAAATTGTCAAGCTTTACAATAATTAAGAGGTTTTTTTTTTTTTTTTACCCTCTCCTGATTACTGCCAAATTGAGAGAAACACTTGATTTTTGAAGGAAAAAAAAATTACTAGAAGCATCACATAATTTTACTGTGAGTTACAGAGATAGTGGAATGTCATCTGTGACTTCTGTAATTTTTTAGTTGTAGAACCAACCATTTTGGTAGATATATTGCATACCTGGATTTTGACACTAGCAAGTTAATTCCACAATGATAATTTATTTTTCCTTTTTGTGTGTGTGTGTGTGTTCACAGGTATATTATTTATTGATTATACATGCTTAAATTAAAGATTCAAATAAATCCTTCCCTTGAAATTGAATTACTAAGGCAAAAAATGTGTTCAGTATAGGAACATTTAGTTTCGGCCTAGTATGGCGAGGAGGGGGGGGAAATCAGCGCGGCAATTGATTAAAAAATACACTACCAAGCAGGTACTGCAGAATATACTGAGGTCCAGACTTCCTGTCTCTGCAAGTTCTACTATTGTCTGCAGAAAAAAAAGAGAAAAGAAACAAGACATTAGAATTTAGCATATAAACAAATACTGACAACCATTGTAATGTAGCTGCTTCTCAGACCCAGAGTTGCGATCTTTATTCATTTCAGGTACTTTCTAGATACAGGAACAACTTAAAATAATTTGAAAATAAAGCTAAATGCTAACTGAACATCAAACATTCAGAGACAATTATGAAAAGATGAGAAAGCAGTACACTGCACAAAGGTAAGACACACGTCCTGTAGTAGTTTATGCCCCTGATGAACAGATCGTTTAGCAATTTGTTTAGCTGCAGTGTAAGAAATCCAAAACATTCACAGACACGAGCATCTGACTGAAGAAGTTGCCTTTTACCATTCCTATCCAGTTCAGCAAGGCCTTTGTAACCACACTTAACTAAAGCAAGTAGATCAAATTAATTGGATATTTGTGCAATTTGCTGAATCCAAACCAAAGTGCAGTTGCTGACTATTTAATTTAGTCCAGTTGAAGAAAGAGAATTTAATTTGGAATTTACTATGGCAATAACAGAAAAAGAATTTGCACTGTAAATCTGCACATTGACTAATATAACAGTAATCTACTGGGGGAAAAGAAAACTAATTTAAGCTATTGCAATTATCTTTTTAAAGGCTATTATATTTTCATTCCTACATAAGGTCGTAATTCCAAGTGGTCTGACGTTGATATGCACAGGTGTTTTCACAAATGCCCATGAAGTAGAAGCTCAAAACTCACTTTCGTTGGGATATGAGCTCCTAGGAAGCTTAACCAAAATGAAAGAAACAAAATGATTCTGCTGCTTGTATAATTCTGGCATATTCAATGCTTAGTTTGGCTGCTGAGAACAATGTACTTTAATTAAAATAAATTAGAATGCTGATAGTGCTATAAAGTCTTAGAAAGATATCATTAGATCATCTGTATTTTCTCTAATATTTACACCAAAACAGAAATCTACCCAAGACTGACAGGGGTTTTGGTTGGTTTTGCCTCAAAATGTTTGTCAGTCTAATACTTTTAGACACAAAGGTAAGGAAAATTAAGTGCTTAAAAGTCTGGAAAGTTTGTATAGAATCCAAGCAACTAACACTTTTCCCATAGTAGGTTATTTCAGTAAGGCAAAACTGTGAAACGTGACATTTTCATTTTCACCCAACCACTTTTTAAACTTTTTATCTTGAAAATTCAAGATGCAATTTTATTTTGTTACTCAAATTGACCTAAATTCACCTTTGGACCAATAAGACTTGAACACATATTCCAAATGTAAAAAAAGAAACCTGGAAGACAAGAATTTTCAACATTTTAGATCTTTTGTTATACAATAATTTATGGAAATTTCATGTACTGAGCAGCAAACTACTCTGACCAAGTGGTGGCAGGCTGCTGAAGAACAAGTTCAACATATCTCATGGCTTTACCTTTTTCTTTTGTTCTTCTGTGGCTTTGATGATTCCCGGATCAGATTTCCAGGATTTTCCAAAATTGTAGAAAAGTGCAATGCTATTAGCAAGGAATGGAAGATGTATAAAGAAAAAGTTCAGATGTGTTTGAAGTCAAGGAATCTAAAGTTTAAAACCAAATTTCCTCTTGAAAATACCGATACTTCTGAAATAAAATTTAAATATATTTGACTTTTACAAATGCCCTTGAGTCACTGTTTTCTGAATTAACAAAATTCAGTGCTGCTGTAAGAACCACATTAGTATTCAGTATTTTCTACTGCTCAAACTTGAAAACTTTTGTTTTAAAATGCTGTTTCCCATGAGGCATTTCTAAAGCACTTACCCTTCTAACAAATGAATAACGACAGTTCAGTTTTTGTAATTATTTTCCCTTTTAAATAAATTAAATTCCACTAAATTTATCTTCTTAAAAGTATTTCCTGTTTTCACAATAAACATTTCAGAGCTGTACTTCTCAGATAGTCATTTGACTGCCTATATCTTCAGTGGCTTGAAATTCCCATTAGACCACATTAGAAAGGCCTGTTTCTAGCCATAGAAGGAACCGTGCTGCAATAACCACTGCTGTGTTGAAATCATGTCTCAACACCACTTATCTCCAAGAAAGGTAGTCTAAAACCGGGTCCTATTATAAGGCAATACCCATATTTTACATCAATTAAAGTTATTTTTAACATAGTAACACATCTAATACTTACAAAGCCACAGGATTTAGTATTCTCTGGAAGTGTTTATAAAATCAATTACCATATAAAGACAGAAAATAACCATTAGTTTTAAAATATATTTCCTGTGTTGAATGACTTGCCATATAACATGCTTAGTCTTACATCACTTGACATTTCTTCACTGAATTAAATTATGTTGAAAAAACAAGTACTTTAGACATGCCTCTTCCACAAAGCTTGGAAAATTATTTACTCTTATAAACCTACAAAAGACTTGACCAACGTGACTAAAGATACTTGTCAGTTGTCAGTCATAACTGAAGGAGATGCCACCACAAAATTGTGGTGGCAGAAGCCTTTATAGCATTGTCCAGGCAAAAAGAACATTTATTACTCAGGCACAGATCACTGCACACCCAAATTACACTATATTCTGAGTAAATTAGATTAATATTTCTCTCTATTTTGGTAGTCATTAGAACTTTTACTGCAATTAAAGTTTAATATATTGTGTGTTTGTATTAAAAAAACTCTGTGTATGAGACTTAAAAACAAGCATTATGTGACAATTTGTACTGAATTGATATATAACAATTTAAAGATAACAAAAACCAACATTTTTTGCATGTTCTGAAAAAAATTGGACTTCAAAGTTAGAATAGATGCTCAAATATATCCTGCTATACATATCTACAAATATATTCTATTCTGCTCGACTCTATTATTGGAAAAAAATGTTTATTAAAGGCATTAAGCAGTATTAAGAAAAAAGTACATAAACCACTGATAAATAACTCTACATGGTACAGATACAAGCAAACAGTAAACAAAAAACCCTCAGGATTTCTTCAGAATAACAGTAAGTATCTCTAATACTTCTACACTCCTCTTGTGATGTGAAAGAGCCCTGAAATATGAATAAACACAAGTAAGGCCTCTTTTTGACTTCTGAAATGCTAAAAGCGCCTCATTGTTCTGTTTATGTGAAGTGTATCCCAAATAACTTTTGTTTTCCTTCTGTTGGGGGGAGGAATTGTCTGCGAATTTCTAATTAAAAAAAAAAAAAAAATTGGCAAGTTAAAATTTTAATCATGTACCTTATATAGTAGAATGTTAGCATTAACTCACTAAAGGCTAATTAATCTTTTCTCTAACAAACCTATTTCCAGCAAGTTTATAATAGGGAGGGAAAAAAACACCAGCTATACCATAACCTAAACACTCACAGTTCTATTTGATATATTACAGATGAAAAGCTTTGACTTTAATATTTATACAATCTATTTTCTTCCTATTTTTCTTCTAAAACTACCTGCTGCCAAGAATAAGCTGGTTCAACTTATTTGTATAGCTAGAGAGAGAGGTTACGTTTTCTTCAGAATACTTAAAAAGTATCACAGGGGTTTCTGCCACAACAATGAAAACTGTTTTTTCATTAAAAATACCTTGATCAGACATCTGTTACAAACAATAAAGGTACAATTGAAAACAATTATATTACCCATTCCTAATTTCTATACGTCATGTCTAGACTGTTAAAGAAGATAGGGGGAAAGACAATTTATTTTCTATCCATTAAAATGTTTTTTATAGCCTTAAAGTTTTGGAATTGTTTTTCTTTCACTGACTAAAATTTGGACAATCTGCGTAATAAAGACCCTGTCCATGGATCCCAGCCACACAAGTAGAAAATCAGTATGCAATATTTTTCTGAACTTACCCTTCCCCCATTTTGCTCCATAAAATACAGAGACCACATAAGAGACTCCCCACAGAGTCTCAGTTTTTCCTTTCCTTTTATGACAGTGGTGTCAGGTGAGCAAAACGCTGACAGTGTAAATGGTGGCAGATAAGGTACTTCTGTGCTGAGGATGGAGTCAGGAGACTACATGAGAAAGCAGATGAAGCATAGATGAGCAGTAACTATATAAAGGGATAAAGACAAAGTTGGCAGTATTTTTCATTACTATCTTCAAAAACCCACTTCTTGTGTTAAACGAAACCGAGGAGAAGGGATGAAAACCAACCAGACTTTGAAGGAGAAAGGAAAGTTAGAATTGTAGATAACTCCAGCTGTGAGATTCATCTCCCCCTACCTTAAATCACTCAATATGCCTTCATAAGCAACAGAAAGAAAAAAGCCACATCCAATCTATCATCACTATCAAGACTTTAAATTAAGTCAGAGAAGCAGTGCCCTACAAGTGGCTATTTTTCTCCACTGGCTATGAAAAGAGCTTAAACAACTAACTTAGATATGGATGTCCACACTGGAGGTATCCAAAATTATGGTGCACTCCTCTCTGAAGTTTGCTTCCAAAGAGATCTTAGCAACTTGTATCACAGATCTCTCAAAACTCTCCATATGCAAGAAACTGTTGTAGGTTTGCAGTAGCTACAGAGTAGGGAATCGGTCCTCCAGAGTGCCTCATTTTGCCCTAACATCCTCATTTAGGCAAGGAAAAATACATTACTATATTATTAAGGGCTGTAAAATACACGATATAACAGGTATTCACCTGCTCTGTCACCAATTTGCCGTTTTTTATAAGGTTTCCCCAGTTTGCCTTGTGAGAGACAAAGCAGAAACACCCATGAAACACCACCTACTTTTTGTCCTTATTAATATCCTTTTATTAGAACAAGTACAAGAGGCTGAAAATTATTCCAGGAAACCACCTGGAACCAAAAAAGACCATCTAACTGAAAAGAAAATTTAAACCAAATAAGCACCCCACAACCCATGAGTGAGGTAAACATGTGATGAGCTACTTTTTCATCCTGAACTGCAGCCTATTTAAAAGGGCCCAAACACATGCAGCTTCCTGCTATCACAGCTACATGTCATACAGGAGTCTGAAACCAAGCCAAAATGTACATTATCTACTAAGATGCTCTCTTACACTCAGTACAAAACCAGTAATAAAGTCTTTTTCTCATAAAGAGAAAAATGTGCAGCCAGTGTAAGCTGTCAGAGATCAATACATGCAACTGAACCTGCCAATTCATAACACCTGTACATCTGGATACAATAGTCCACGTAGATAATATCAGAATCACAGACTGGTAGGGGTTGGAAGGGACCTCAGGAGATCATCTAGTCCAAACCCCCTGCCAAAGCAGGTTCCCTACACCAGGTTACACAGGAAAGCGTCCAGGCCTCATTTGACTAGGCATTTATTAGACAAAATCCTTTTTAAAACAACTGAAGCTCTGCAAAAGCTCTCTACCCCCATCTTCTATCTAATGTAAAAAAAGAAATTCCTTAGCTTGCAAAAAAAAAAAAAAAAAAAAAAAAAAAAAAATTCACTGCCATCTCCCCTACCCCTGAAATTTATTTTTTTGTTTGTTTGTTTATTGGTTTAATTTTAGAAAAGCATTTAGACACATGAACAGAAGTTCTGGATAGCTGAGCCTGGGATTTCAATTTTTGAGGTCTTTGGTTCCTCCAGAAACATGGTTCCTAGCTTCTTTCTTTCTGCATGCAAGGCTTTTCACTGTTTTCCTGAAACTAATTTTGGTAATATGATTTTTTGTTTGTTTGTTTTTAACTGCTTAACTGTACCAATTGGCTTGTTACAGTTTTTAAAACACTATGCTATTGTAACAGCTTTGTGAAAGCATGAAAATCATCATGAATTCTTACACACAGTTTTTAAAATGATCCCTAACTGAAAAAGCATGCAGTGTTTATTTTCTTTCACCTAAAATCCGTCAGTAAATGAAGTATATTTGAAATAAGATAATCCATAAAATATTAGTCAATGATAAGTTATTTTTAAAATTATAAATTGGCTTATATAATCTCATTATCTCAGCACTGCAAGTTGTATGCTATACCGAAAAAGCTTAATTAATGAAAACTGCATACTCTCATTTGCACCAAATAGAAGCAGCAGAACAAAAAAAAAACCCAACATGTGAATATTTTGGGTTAGAGCAAACCCTTAACGTTTTAGAAAAACAGAGCAGTGTAAGAACCTTCTGACAGAACAGGCATTATTTTTTCAGCTGGAACTGAAAAGACTGCATAAACAACTGAGATATGAACTCAGTACACGTGTCCTGAACTTTCAGTGGACACAGGAGAACGCTCTACCTATAAATGCTAATGAAAAAGAAAGAAATGTGAAATTCTAGTCTCATGTGATTAAAATGTACTTTTAAATATTTTTTTTCCTTTAAAAATAAAACTAAATTAAAATATAGTAGTTTAGTGTGTAGGGTTTTTGAGGGTATTTTCTCCCTACTCTGTGAATAGTAAATTACACCAAAGCGAGACATAACTATCCTTTGTTATGGGCAAAATACAGGCTCATACATCCATAAAGACACAGATCATAACTTCCTCATTCACAACAAGAATAGGATTTCTATTTTAACAAATATACCAGACTCAGAAACTGCTGAGAAAAATCCAATAGAATGCAAAAGTTTACAAAAAATCAGTACACTAGATTCACGTGAACTGTTGAAATTTACTTGCATTTAGAAGACACATCATTAAGCCTTAGAATTTATAGACTTAATTTTCATGTGACCACTCTGAAATTCAAGAAAAGGCACTACTAATCTTTGTTTTTTATGATACATCGTTTTGACTGCCCTTTTCTGTCTCATTAGGGTTAAACCCAGAAGACCAGATCATCTTCCAGAGAATTTCAACATATCTACAAGAAAATAAAATTCTTACCAAATACTTTAATATTAAAGGAACATCTGCAGCAGTTAAGACCTTTATATTATTTCTAATATAAAGCTCCAGTAAGGTAATTCATGATAGCTGTTTAAGAAACTTTTTGCCCGTGTAAAAGACGGTCAGAATTTGGGAAAACTACCAGGACAGGTTTTATCTCTTGAACACTACAAAGCAGTACTCTGGTGCACTGTAAGTAATCACATAAAGCTGTAAAAATACAAGAATCCTTTCTCCAACCACAATGCTACGCCTCATGCTGTAAAAATAGTGAGGCATGCAATTTCTTTTTTCCAATAAAGCTACAGGGCAATTTTCCAGAAGAAGAATAATGAATTTGGAATCTTATTAAAAAGACTTCCAATTAAAAATCACCAATTAAAGGAAGATGGCCTCAAGCACTCAGTCTCTAAAACTCCTTGTCAGAGAATTGTGTCAGCTCTAATGAAAGCAATTAGTAACTGAAGTTTTTAGACTACTAGTTGTGTATACAACAAGACTGTTGCAAAGGTTTTGAGGTGCCTACCTTAAATTACAGAAGCAGTACAGTATTTTATTGACATTCTGAAGTCAGACTTTATTAGGGTAACTAATTGTCTATGGTTACTACATGTAGTGGACAATGAACATTATCCTGTGACAAAAAACCCCAAACTGCAAGTAACATTAATCAGAATGGCTAACAGAAATAAAAACCTAAGCAAGTTGGTACAAATATGGAGAAAAGAGGAGCTTCAGGATAAAAATCTCACAGTTTGCCAGCCTTAAGGGACAGATTAATACATCAAGACAGAGGCCATCATCAAGTTGTGCTGGTTGTGCAGCCATTTTATTATGGTCAAGGACTCTGATTTAAAGCTGCACACATTCTTAGATTTGGTTCAAGCTGATGTTAGGTTAGAATAAGAAAGCATTGCACAGTAGCTCAACATTTGCAGCCCAGAACATGTACTAGCATTAGCAAATGTGAGTGTCTGAAGGTATGGAGAGCTGAGATTCAGTAGTCAGGTACTGTAGTGTACTTATTGTAACTGTCTCAGAAACTTGTATTTTACTATTTGCTAAAAGTCAGGTTTTCTTAACAAAAAGGAACAGAAAAGCAGCTTCATTCTAGACACATGAAATATTTAGACAGTTCTACTCCATTCCATAGAAACTGGAAAAGTACACCTCCATTTTTAACTATCGCTTTTAAAAACTGTTTTTTATATTAATTTTGTACTCGCTTTCCTCATTCTGCAGTTACTAGTAAACTGAGTAAAAACATGGAAAATCAGGCCAGACAGAGAGACTGGTAGTATGACCAGCATTTCTAAATAACTATTTCAAGACAATCATGCTAATATTGATAGAATTATTTTTTTTTTTTACTTAACAGCTACTAGATTTTCCTTTTTAGGTTTTTTTAAATGTGCAGTAGCAGTCATCTCCAGTCACATGGGACTGTCATTACTCACAGCAGCACCTTTGCAAACACTGTCACCATGGAAGCCAAAGGTAGCATGGAACCAGGGTCTCCTCTCTGTTCTTATCTCAAAAATATGAGGTTCATTTAGCTAAGGCTGGAGAACATAATAACAAGATTATAAAAGGGTTGCACTGCTACTGTTGTATTTCCCAGGGATTTCTTTGAGAATGAAAAGAAAACCAGCTTCTAGAAAAGTCAATCCAATATCCATCATAAATATTAGATTCACTTCAACTATTTACAACTATAAGAACTGTATGAAATATTTAATAAAACATTAACTCTCTATTTTGTTCTCTTGGTTATTGTAGTTACAATACCCAAGAAAGTTGTTTAAAAATTTCAATCTATTTCCTTAAAGTGGGTAACTGATATTCTTCAGTGAACTCTGAATCAGTATCTACCCCTGTGAGTATGAAACATTCATATACAGGCAGACAGTTAAAATCACAAAAAGAGTGGCATATCCTGAATCTCTATAAATTAGTGTTGTTAACACATACATCTTCAAAGACTGAAAATACAGTTAACAAATATAACTAAAGTTTGTGTTAATTGCAATTTGCAAAATCTTTAGGAAGAACTCACTATAAAGCTAATACCACTGGAACTGATATATACCATGAAATTACCTACTACTTTTCAGAAAAGAACTGTCTAAAAATGCAGTAAATTACACTCTGTCACCTCACAGCCTTATAGAGTTGCTTACATTTCCCCCAGTGAACAAACTGGTAAAGTACAGGAAATTTTGCAGACCATTGAAAGCCAATTTTGAGGAAAGTCTTTCACTTACTGAAGCACAGCAATTGTGTGCACAGTTTAAAAGCAATAAAATAATTACCATCAATCTAGAAAGCAATGTTTAATGGAGATATCCTTTTAAAATTTTAATGAGTTTACTTACTCTCATATGTAGGATAAATCTAGGTATTACTTCATACTACTAACATAAGAAGACATTACTTATTACTGTACACCAAAAAGGATATCATTCCAAAACCAGAAGAACCATGTCACGTACATCCAGAACTTCGTTGCCAAGTATATTCCAAGAGGCAGCGCACTGTGCATGGAGTGATCAAAGAATGACCTGTAAAGTAGGAGCAATGTCACACGGTCAGTTTTGACTTATAAAATGTAAATCCTGAACTACTGCTTCTGAAAAACTTGTCCTGTTAAAATATGTACTAAATGGGATATTGCAAAATACCCCATAAAAACATTTTCCTCACTTTTACCTTCAAAGTTCACAAGAAATTCCCATTTTCAAGCTGTCCAGATGAAGAGTCATGACTCAAAGTTATTTAATTAAAATCTATACATTTACTTCTGAAGTGAACACCAAGAACTGCACAAGAAAGGCAGAATGAGTAAATACTCATGCTAAAACTACACTGCGAAAGCAGTTTGAAACCTGTGAGGTTTCTAGTCTACACAGACAGTGGTTGCAAACTATGTTTACTTACGAGATTTCAGTGCTAAATACATCTTGGGAACTCATACAATGAAAATTAGATGTTAAAATTACTTCAGTAATAAAAAAGCTTAAGAGACCTTAGTGTAATCAGCCTACATACTTGAAATATTTCAGCTTCTTGAATCTTTTGCTTCTGTTACAGTTGCCAACAGAAAGTCAGAAAAAAATCCAGATTAATTAACTTCCTGTATCACTAGATTTACCAAGGTCTAAGATAGAATGCTGCTATTTTAATTTTAAAAAAAAAAAGCCATCAGAATTACTTTCACCTTCTTCTACTCTTGCATTTTAAACACTATTCTGAATGAAGTTGAATATCGTTGAGACAAACTAGGTGACTGACTAGGTTACTCCATATTCAAGAAAAAATTACTTATAAAAAAAAAAATCACTCTAAACTGCTTAACTCCTTGAAACAAAACGTCTTCCATAATCTGCCTAAACATCCTTACATTGATGCATTTTTCTTTTTGCCCTAATGGTGCCCTCAGGGCTGCCACAGGCAAATGTGTGCACTGTTTTACTCCCTTGCAATAGCTGTCTCCTCTCTAATGGCATTTTCTTTTGAGAAAATCCTATAAGGAAGATGAGCTAAGATGGTGAGTAGTAAGTGAATACACATTTGGACACACAGTAGTTACTCAGCAGTAATCTTTCAGTGATTTCTGTGCAATTTTGAGTGTGTGAAAGGAGCGGGGAGGAAAACAGCTAAGCAAATTAGCTAAAATTCAACAGGGAAAGGAAATACTAGTCATATAATAGCAAAAGTTTAATTCAAACCCGAGCTTTGTGAAAAACACTTTAAAGAGTAATTATACTAAACATTAAGCAAAGGATAAGAGAATATAAGAACATTAATCCTGAATACAGGCTGAAAGAGTTGGGTCTGTTACGCCTGTAAAAGAGATGGCTCTGGGGAGATCTTACAGCGGCCTTCCAGTACCTGAAGGGGCTACAGGAAGGCTGGGGAGGGAGTTTTTATAAGGGCAGTTAATGACAGAACAAGGGGTAATGGGTTTAAGCTGAAAGAGGGTAGGTTTAGATTAGATATTAGGAAGAAATTCTTTGCTGTGAGGGTGGTCAGACACTGGAACAGGTTGCCCAGAGAAGTTGTGGATGCCCCCTCCCTGGAAGTGTTCAAGACCAGGCTGGATGAGGCTTTGTGCAACCTGGTCTAGTGGAAGGTGTCCCTGCTGATGGCAGGGGGGTTGGAACTAGATGATCTTTAAGGTCCCTTCCAACCCAAACCATTCTATGATTCTATGAATACGTGTCAGGCAGATCAAAAATAAAATACTTGACAAAACATAGGTCTTGAAAAACTCGAAGAAGTCTTGTCCTTGCTTCCTGCAGGAGTCATGGTTGAGGATTTGCATTGCCAAATAAATTATTTGTGGAAGGAGGCCAGAAAATTGCACAGCCTCAAAGATGACAAAAAGACTGAACAGATAATCTCCAAGATCCTGCAGAGGCAAAAGTTTGGATAAACCCCCATGCCCTTCCCAGTGTACTAGGTTCACTAAAATTCTATGAACTTGGTTTAAGGAACAGATATATTTTCTTCTCCTCTTTAAACAGAAAGGAAGGAGAAGCAAGTGGTTCTAATAAACATGACATTCAATGTCAGAAAAGCAAAAAGCTTGTAAGTATGAAGCTCTTCCAAACATGCCACAGATAACAATGAAAAACAAAGGACAGGTG